GGAAATACATTTATGACTCTTGGTTATGTCTCGCAGTTGTATTTCTAGGAAGAGCCCAAACTTGGTCTTAGGAAGGCCTACCAAGATAGACTTCATCAAGGCTATAGAGATGGCTCACTGGCTAAGAGCGCTTACTGCTCTTCAAGATACCTGAATGTGGTTACCAGCACCTACAATGGATGACTCACAACCACCTGTTAGTTCAACTCCAGAGTCACTGCCTCTACGCTTTGAGGGCCCTTGAATTCATGTGCGCACACCTATCACAGACACACACATACATACACATAATCAAAAAATAAATTATTGAAAATATGACCTCATTCTCCTACATCGAGTGTTTCTGATCTCACTAGACTTGCAGTAGTGGGGAGAGATTAGATGTCAGGTAAGGGTTCAAAGCCCTAGTCCGTCTAAGCATGAACAACCTAAGTGTCACTTTTCCTTAGCTGCAAACCCTGCTTTTAGAGGGCTGGAGAGGCTCAGTGTTGGAAGCACTTGCAGTTCTTGAAAAAGACCTGAGTTCTGTTCCCAGCACCCACCCCGGCTGCCCCATAACTGCTTACTACTCCAGCCCTAGGGTATCTGGTGCCCTCCTGTGTCTCCATGGATATACACACACAAATAAAAGGAACTTAAATTAAAAAACCTACCTCCTTTCAGGGTCATTGTCAACACGTTCGATATTAATAGCCAACGCTCTTCAAACAGCTCTGTAAGTTGAGGATGATAAAGAAACTAAAGTATGGAAACTGAAATAATTTAAGTTCACAGAGGGTGATGGAGCCAGGAAAAGTGGCCACATTGCCAGCATCCAAATACTTTCTTACAAGGGCAGCTGCCATCATGGTTATTTCATGCTGCTTCCTCCTGAAATTGTCCCCATCATCAAAACCCACCCACCTCCTGTGAAGACTCCCTCCTCCTGCAGCAAGCCTTAGTCATCTATGCAGTTGTAGTGTGGCCTTCACTATGTTCAGCTTCCATATCTGGAGCAGAACTTGTCTGTTCCTGGAAGAGCTCTTGGTCACCTTGGTACCATGCCAACACATTGTAGGTATACTCAGTCGTTGTCTACAAGAACGGTCAGACATGATCCCACAGTACTGTTGTCCTCATATTACCAAGCTGTTTGCAGGGTTCTGCACATTCCTGGGGACTGTTACAGGGTAAGGTTTCAGGGACTCTCCTGACTTGGGATCCCTTCTGTTTCCTCCACAGCACAAAGTTCTGCAGAGACGAGTTTATTCTTCCTTCTTCAGAGTCTATCAGGATGTCTACCCAGTAAGCCTTGCAATAGAAAGAAGCCACAGTGTGGCTTGGAAGACTGAACTCCGGGCTCCTTAATTTGGAGTTGGCTATAGATCGGCATGTTGTCTCCAAGGATACTGTGTAGCCCGAGGAAACAGCTGTAGATGAAGCCTCTGAAGGCTGGCCAGACCCCTGTGGTTTGGCAGAAGAAGTCATTGTCCCAACCAGGAAGTGGTCTTGTGGTCCCACTGACCCTAGTCTTTTCCAGACAGAGCTGGGCTCATACTAACTCAACTGGACATTTCCCAGAGACTCACAAACAATTCTATTTCTCAAGAGTGCTATAGATCCCTCCCCCAAGAAGGCTCCTGCTCCAAACTCCACAATCTTAGCATTGTGTGTCTAGAGAACTAAAAGATTTATTGGAATGTTAATAGCAACCAAGCAAGTACAGCTTCTCATCCTTCACCCTGAATAGGGGTGGTCCCAAAAAGCTCTGTATAAGCTTAGGTGGGCTCAGAGGCCACAGTTCAAGAGAAGAATGGGCCCATCAAGAAAGGAGGCAGAGCTCTGCTATGTTCAAGGAAGGTGGGCACGGACAAGGATTGTTATCTATATACAGCAAAGTCATAGGCAACTTATAGAAATTTTAGGGTTTAACTTCAGGCGGGGTCCCTAGCCCAATTTAATAGATGGTCTCAGCTTGGACCCAGAGACTTTTGGGCAGAAGGTATTTATGCTACAAGTTCATAGAGACAGGGGAAAGCTGAAGAGTTCTCTAGCTTCCTTGGAGATGCCACAAACTTCTCAGTATCCTTAGGGACAGTAACTTATAATGGCTTCCAGGGGGCAGGGGACAAAACTGTAAGCCAGGTATCACCCAGCCTGAAGAGCTTTGGGATTTAGGCTAAAGTCACCGATCCTGCAGGTGGTGTTGTGATTTGTGAAGGGAGGAAGTCTAACGACTCTTACTATGAGAGATAAACCAGAGAGCCTTAAGGCTGGGTCCTCAAGTTTCTTTCATCCAACATTTCCTGGGCAAGTCTGTCTTCACTATGGTTTCACCTCCCACCCAGGTATTAATTCATATTTGTATGTTTATTTTTTCACTCTAATCCTTTTGCCCAATTCCACACTTACCACTCCAGGTGCCTGCTTATCATGTTGTCTTGGATGTAACAAAAACACAAACTCAATACATCTAAAACAAATTTATTACAACCTCCAGTCCAAACCTACAGGATGAGATACAAACAATGCTGGTTGGTACCTCTGTCCTGTTTCCAGATTGGCTTCTGAAGTCTTCTCAATCTTCCACCTTGCTCTACCCCATCACTTCTACCCTGGCTCCAAGCTCTCCTTTAGGTGAATGCAATCATCTGGTTTCCAGGCACTTGATCCCTTCCAATCAGTATGCCACAAGGGGCCTTCAGCACTTCTTTCTTCCCTAGCTTATTCCTACTTGTTATTCAGACTTCAGTGCCAATGTCGCTTCCTCAAGGGAGACTCCCTGGTGACCTCTCTGAAGAAGCTGGCTGCTTTGCAGCTCTAGTCATGGCTGTAACTTCACACTCGGGCTCCATTACACTGAGCTCCAGGACAGAACTGACTTTTTCTTTTTCTTTTCCTTTTTGGCCAGTACTGTATTTGTGTTTACACTTGCTAAATACCAGTATGTAATGTTTATGGAACGATTATTGTCAGTTTGTTTACACCCTGCTCCAGCCTAAGTAACCACTGCCTACTGGACTACCATTATTGCTCTCATGCATTACTGCATTGTTATTTGTCTGTCTAGAGTCCACCTCCTCCAGCATATTCTCTAAACTGCAGTCAGAATTACCTTTTTAAACATGCGAGTCCAACTGATGAACTAGCTTACCTCCATCTTAAGCTTATAGTAAAGACAAATTAGGTTCATTCCTGTTTATGATTAAACCTGTTGCTCAAGAATTGGGCTATGCCCCACCTGTAACCTTTACTACAAATGACCACCTATACTGCCTTTTCCAGGAACTGGCAATCAGGTCTTTGTTAAAAAAGTTGTTAATGACTATTTTGCAACCCTACCTTTGTTTCAAAAGGTTACAATGACCACCTGTTGCTATGATTACCTTGTTATGGTCTGCTTCTGTAACCACACCTATTTCCCCTGCCAAATTCCGTCTGGAAACCTCCTACTCCTGAGCTATAAAAATCTTATCTTCCCCATTTCCAATACTGATCTCTGGAACCCTGCCTCATGGAGGAAGACAGTCTGTGTACACAAATAAAAAAGCTTGCTTCAATTGTTTGCTTCAATTAATTTGGCTGTGATGATTTGGGTCAGTGGTCTTTCTCCTCACATCTTTGAGATTTTAACACAATCACTTCTAATCCTTCATTATTCCCAATAAACTCCAAACTCTAACAGGATGACCTCTTACCATGTAAATCACTAATGACTGCTATCCTCTTGGCTCCTTAGTAGCAAAACCCTGACCAGTCAAGACAGCAGTGTGACCTATAAGAAGGGATGTCTCCCTGCTGGATGTGTTTCTCAGAGATGTCGGGTAGTACTGGAATCCGATGCACTGGCAATTCAGTGATTTGAAAGGGTTACTGTCTTTCCAAAAGCTAGAATTTCCTCTTCTAGAAAATGCTGTGTCAAGTGTCTATAAAATGTCTAAAATGAAACATTTTCTGTTAAAAAATTCTGGGCAATGAAACCAAGTGGGTACCATTTCTTAGAGCTTCCAGGTGAGAACAGACCCCAGGCTGTGTCCTTTGTGCCCACTCCCCATGTTTTCTCTTGTTTTCTGCTATTTTCACAGCCGTGCTGGATGATGCTTTGTCAGCCATCCTAAATACAAGGTATGGGCAAAAACTGATGTCATGTGCCTTGGATGGCTAAGGAAAACAACCCAAAAGTAGCTTGGTGCTCAGTTACCAGAGAGCTTCCCCACGGCCCTGTATTTTGGACTTCTTTAGTATGAGGAAATAAATTTGTATCTTAAGTCATGATCTTTTACTAGCTGTCAAACTGAAACCTAATACAGGCTTCGAAGCATTTCACAATCTGACCTCTGTCAAGTTTACCTCTCCCTGTATATTTTCAAATCCAACAATTAACCCAAACAAAATGCTTCTTAGCTCTTCACACTCGGTCTCTCTTCAGTCTTCTCCTACTACTACTCTTTTTTGTTGTTGTTGTTTCCTTAATTTTATTTTTTATTTTTTGAAACAGGGTCTCACGAAACCCAGACTGGCCTCAAATATGCTATGAAACCAAAGCTGTTCCTGAACCCGATACTCCTATCTCACCCCTCTTGCTGAGATTATACAGAGGAGCCCCCCACACCCAGCCTGGTCTTTCCATTTAGTGTTTACAAGCTGCAGCTTCTCCCTGGATAGGATCCCTCTCCCTCTGCCCAGCTTGGCTACTCCTCACTGTCCTTCAGATCTCTGCTTAGGAAATCATTCCTTCAGTTTTGTTTCCTGATACCAGAAGAGAACTTGATCATACTACTTACTATACTGTGACTTATATTTACCTGGCCTTCTCCACCACAGACAGTAAACTCTGTGAAAACAGGAAAGTGCTTCATCGCATCAGAACTCTATTTCAAATGCCTTGCAGAGCTAAAGTCTTAAGTATTTCTCGACTACATGGAATAAATGGATGATGGCGATATGGCGCCAGTTAGTGAAGGACGGCAAGCCTGGCATCTCTGCAATGTGAAGAATGAGGTGAAATGAGTGGTATATTATAGTTTATTATTTATAGTTTATTATTTATACTATATCCTGTTCCAAAAAGGGCTTAAAAGAGGCAGGATTACTGCAGTACAACCTCACAGAGTGCCAAGTGGAACTCCTCAGACCTTCCCCTCAGAAACACTGACTGAGGAGACTCTAGTGGAAGACTACAGGTCATTTGGGGGCAGGAGGGATACTAAGAAAGCAGTGGTATCTTGTCCTACCTCATCTTCCAGCTTCTCATTTAGAAGTCCTACCTCAGGAGAAAAACACTGGTGGGAGGGTTGCAGCAGGAGAAAGTTAGCAGAAGCAGGGAAGGCTAATTCTCAGGTACAGTATCCACCGTCCTTTAGGCTCTGGTGCTGACAGCAAGTAAAGGGTCAGGTCTTCTCCAGGTGCTTTGCTGGGCCTGGGATCTCCTCTCCACGGAGAATGGCCAGATAGATCAGTCTTCAAGAGGCCCACTGCTAGCTGCAGGGTCCAGACTCTGCCCCTCCATCACCCCCATCCTCCTCATCTGACTGTGCCAAGGGGGTGTCTGCTCCCCCTTCACTTGGATTTGGACTGCGCAGATTGGATGAGTCAGAGGACAAGGAGGAGGTCCGGGATGTAGTCCTGTCTGGCGTGGGTACCGGCAGGCTCAGCTCCTCTGGATGGCTGTCCACTCCTACTCAGAGAGAAGGGCTGGTCAGGGCCACACACAGGGCTTTAGAGAACTCAGGGATGTATCTGGCCAGAGAAACCGAAGTGTAGAGAAGAGTGGGCACCTGTCCAGAATGAACTTTCCCAGTCAGCAAGGGGCCGGGATTAGGACTGCCAGCCCCTTCCATACCACTATACTATCTTATGTGCTGGAGTCAATCGAGAGCTCAGGCTCTACCTCACTGCGTCCTGAACAGCTGCAGGCAAGTCATTTCCCCTCAGTTCCTGCTGTGAGAAAGACACCTCCATTTCTAAGTTTTTAGGGTAAAACCGCAAGAATGCATATCAAGCATCTGAGGCCATCAGGAAATACTAGCAGTTTGTTTCTGTCAGACAGAGTCATGCTCTGCAGCTGGTCTCAAGCTCACAATCCTCCTCCTCTGTTTCTGAACTTGTGATGAGAGGGAACTAGCAGTCTCAGGAGCACGTTCCAGGGCTTGGAGCCAGAGACAGGGTTTGAATACCAGCGTTTCCACCCTCACTCTGTAGACCAGGCTGACCTGGAACTCAGAGATCCGCCTGCCTCTGCCTCCTAGTGCTGGGATAAAGGGCGTGCACCACCACCGCCCAGCTTCCTTCTTTATGAAATGAAGAGTCTACCCCTGTCCTCCGTGTCCTCATAGAACGTTGTAAGGATCAAGAAAAAAATACGTGAAGTACTTTAGCACAATATTAAGAACCCAGGAAATTGGTAAAATTTAGTATTATGACTAAAATTGCTTGGGTTGTCTAACATGATCATTATGTTTTCTATTATTTTAACTACGGTAATTTCATGAATTTCACAAACATAAAAATCTGGATGCTGAAGTAATTAGCTATTCCTAGACCAGTTCCCCCTGAGTCAACTTCCCTAAATCACAACAGCCAGTTGTGTCTCTAGCAGAGACACACATTTCCAACTTCTACTTAAGATTCACCCCTCAGCTCAGACTTGCGCTCTCATTCCTGGGCCCAAACATCCAGCCCTGGCTATATGGTCCCGAGGTCCCTAAGCAGAGAGGCATACCAGACATCTGGGGGGTTGGTGGAGAGTCCTCACAAGGCAAGAACACATCTGCTCCATCCTGATCGGCAAGGTCAATAAATTCCACCTGCTCCAGTGTGTCCACATTCACTTCCATAGACGAGATGCTACCTATGGGGGCTGCAAACAAAGAGGGCGGAGGGCAGGCAGATCAGGCTGAAGCCGAGAGGACAGTCAGATATGCCTGTAAGATCTCCATTTCAGAGTTTACTGGGTCACAAAAACAGGAAGGGAGATGGCCCCCAAGATTTGAGAGCCACAGGGACATCTTCCCCAACCCACCCTAATTCTATTCCTCAGGACTTGAAACTCACGTCTTTGGGACTCGAGGTGCAGATGGGACAAGGGAAAAACAAACTCTGTCTCTGGCTGCAAAATGTCTTCGAAGAATTTCTGCCGCTCCCTGAGACGTAGCTGCTGGCGTTCCAAGGCTGCTCGTGGATTTGGGTCCATGTCAGCCCCTGGGGGGTAAAGGAGTAAAACAGTTGTGGGGATGAGAGAGAAAAAAGTGGGTGCCTAGGCTTAAAGAGCCCCACAGCAGCCAGCATCCCGGCCTCTGCTTCCAGTCTGGACAGCTCTGGCCTTGGCAGCCTCTTTCCCTTCTGTGAGACAAAACTCATCCCACAAACTTCAAGACTCTATAGAGAAAGGGCCAGTCCTGGTTCCACAAAGGGGATGTCAGTTCCAGGCACGGCAAGAGCCTGTTGCTAACCAAGGCTGCCAATGGCTGTCCAACTGCCTATAATGCCCTTCTGAGAGGCTGGCAGGGGCTGGCCATTTCATGGACCCAGCTCCCCCCAGAAAGCCAGGGAAGAATGGGGTGAGATGGGTTGCTGCAGCTCTGGTTCTTCCCACCCCTTCAAATCCCAAAGAAAGACTAGCAACGTTCCTCCCCCACACTCCTCTTTCTCTCCACACACCATCACCATGATCCTCATCACGTCCAAATCCTTTCTCTGAAGTCAAAGACCTAACTCCCTGACTTGCCTCTGCCCTAAAAACCATCTTTCTGGCCCAGGCTTCCATCTGAAGGCATTACCCTACCTACTTGAGCACTACACGACAATACTGTGAAGGGGAGCTGTCTAGAGAACTAGCCACCTTTCCTCTAACTCTGAGACTTGTCCCCCTCCTCTTACACATCTGTGTAGCTTACCTCCCCTGCTAGCAAGTACCAATTAGAAAGGTGGGGCCTGGGTACAGTTCAGACCAGGCCTCTATGTTCCCAGTGCCGAATTTCTCCGAACACCAGAGCCCTGTGCATTCATTCTCATTCCTGGCACACTGCTCTGAACCCATCACCAGGAGCAGGGAAATTTCTAGGGTGAGAACCAAACTGTCATCCTCCAAAAACCTCATCTGGGAACAGTGCATCCCAGCTCTCGGCCAGTTCTTCAAGCACTGGGGTAGCTCACAAGGGACCCAAAACTAAAGAGCCAGGCAGGGGCAAGGAAGTGCGGGAGCTGTTGTGGCCGAGTGGCCACAGAGAAGGGAGACGCTGACGCGGACTCCAGAGAAAGACTCTTAGAGCTGCCGCCCAGGTCACAACGCTAAAAATACCCAGGGCCCCAGGGGCGGTCTGCGGAGCTGCGGGGAAGGGGGGGGGGGGAGAGCTTCCGCGGACCGGGGCCACCCGGACGCCTCTCCTCTCCTCCCCCCCCCCCTCCAACGCTGTGGTCTTACCAGGTTGAAGAGATTGCCCACCAGGGGCCGCGGAGCTGAGACCTGGTGCTAGGTAGTTGTTTACGCGACCATAGGTACTGGGAAGAGTGGAGATTTGGAGAAGGGCGGCTGAGACCCAGGCAGGAGCCAGGAAAATGGAGAACGCCCTCTGCCCCAGCCCCACCCGCGCCCGAGGAGGCAAGAGGCAAAGAATTCCCTAAAAGGGGACCGGAGCGTGGGCGAAGACGGGGCGGGCGGAGGAGGGCGCCCCGCGTTCCCGTGCTGCGTGGCCCCGGTCCGCCGCACCTGAGCCTAACCCGTGCACCCCTACCTGCAGCGCCCGCGCCCCGCTGGCTCACTGGAAGCGCTCCCGACAAGCGGCGGCGGGGGCGTGGGAGCGAGCAGCGCCGGCCGGGTGGGGCTATGCCTGCGGGGCTCCCTGGGGACCGGCGGCCCTGGGAGTCGGGAACGAGGAAGAGGCGGGAGGCGGAAGTGGGGGTGGGGCGGGCACTCGGTGCCGGCGGCGGCGGGCAGCCCCTCCGAACGCCGCGACCCGGACTTGCGGGGCGGGCGAAAAGTTCCCGCACGCATCCCTCCTTGCTCTGGCGGCCGCGGGCGCCCGCGCGGGGCTGCGCGCGCCCCGAAGCACTTGCGGCACCCCCGCCCAGCGCGCAGCGGCGGCGGGCACACGCGCCGGCTCCGGCCCACGCACACTTGATGCGCTCCGACTTGCGAGCAGCGCCCACGCAACGACCACGCGCACGCACCCGTTGCCCGCCTCTCCGCACCTCGAACACCCTGGCCACGCTTACGCGCGTCCTTCTCTAGGAGGTGCGGGATGCGAAAGCAAGGTTCTGCTGCCTCCTAATGAGACAGGTGCATTGCGGTTGACGACCCCTGGGCCTTGGATTCCCTCAGCTGGGCCCAGGACCACACCAGCCGCCGCCCTACCGGTCAGCGCACTGGGCGGGTCAGGGCTGGAGGGGATGAGCCGGCGCCGCACCCTACACGCCGGCAGGGAGCCAACACCTCGAGGTGTTAGCAGGGATGCCAGATGTTTGGCCTGGCGTGGGTGGGCAGTCCAGATGGAAACTGCCCCCTTCGCAGCATCTCCTGGCTAAGACCAGTGCTAGCAGTGTCCAGTATAGCAGCTTTTGGATCAAGACTCCGTTCCCATCCACATCCCCCCCCCACACACACACACCTATCCCCTTGCTTTCTGGCCCCTGAAAGCAGTGTCAGGATAGGCCACAGACTCTGTGTGTGTATTCTATTAGAATCTGTGTTGGGGTCATGCTGTCTGCAAGCCATCCTTGGCATCTTCCTCTCCTTTGAGGCCCATATAAAAATAAACCTCCATTTCATGTCAATTCTGTTTCCTAAGTATCTTTCCAATCCATCATTCCTGTTTCCACCACTCTCTTGGCTTCGGCTCCTACTGTAGTAGCCTCCATCAGGTTTTCCTGTGTCCTCTCTAAGTTTAGCTACAGTCTTCACATAGCAGTCAGCTTGGGCAGTTCAGAGCTCAAGTGTCGTCCTTTGTCAGAATAAAATCTATGCTCGGGTATTGTAACTCAGTTCTCCCCCCCCCCCCCCCACAGGGTTTCTTTGTATAGCCCTGCTGTCCTTGAACACAGAGATCCTTCTGCCTCTGCCTCCCAAGTGTGCACCATGCTCAGCTTCTAAGTGAAGTCTTGAAAAGCAGGGAAGGGGATGGGCATGTGCAAAGGGATGGCCGTGAGAACTGTGGCACACTTCCCCTGCAGATTGGACTCCAGCAATGCTCAGGCACTGACTCCTCTGTGTGACTAGGTGAGAACCACCCTGGGAGGTAACTACAGCAGGCCACTTTCCCCTTCGGAAGAGTGGAAATAGTTTATGGAAGTGAGTTCAGTGGCCAAGATTACTGGCATTGCCGCCAGACCCCCTTCTTGAAGCTCCTGGCCACCTAGGCAAACACTTAGCTGACCCTTGATCCTGTCTATTAACTAGGAATAATTGATCCCCCTCACAAAATACTCAGTGTAGGACTCTGGATACAATGGAAATGCTCCATAAACCTTAGCTCCCTTGGTTGGGATGGGTTCTGAGAAAGGGAAAGAACTGCATTCTATAGTGAACTTGTGACAGGATAGGGATGGAGTCCTAATTGTCAGAACTACCTATGAGAGTTACTGGCTTCAGACGCTACTTTAAGTGCTTTACATATATTAACCCTTAATTCTCTGGGGTAAATACTATTATGTCTACTTCCCTACAGAGAGGTGGAGGAACTGTTCAAGGTCCTACAGCTAGTCTGTGACAGGGCTGGATTTGAAACCTGGGCAGGCCACCTCCTGAGACGGCTGTCACCGCAGCTGGCAGCATGTTCTTTTATCCTGTTATAATTTTCATTTTTCAAGAAACATTTTAGTAAGTTTGAGTCTTATTTCTTATTAATGGATGAAGTAGATACCTGGTCTCATTTTCTGCCACAGAAAAGTAAGTCCACGTCTAGAGTACCGGGACTGGAGCTCAGCTCCCAAGGTCACATATCGCAGTCTCCCACCCCTGCCCTATTTTCAAACTCATCTCTGGAAAAAGGACTCCAAGGACTGACTGACTGACTCTGACTGACTCTCTCTCTCTCTCTCCCTCCCTCCCTCCCTCCCTCCCTCCCTCCCTCCCTTCCTTCCTTCCACTAGTCAGTGCAGTACTGAAGGGAGGTATAATAAAACAGGAGTTCATCTGGGGCTACAAGAAACCTTACCTCAAAAAAAAAAAAAAAAGATAATTGCATGTCTAGAGTAAAAAAATGATGTAGGCCGGGTATGTTGCCACAGGTCTTTAATTCCAGAATTCTGGAGGCAGAAGCAGGTCAATCTCTGAGTTGGAAGCCAGCCTGGTCTACAGAGTTAGTTCCAGGAGAGCCAGAGCTACACAGAGAAACCTTGTCTTGAAAAACAAAAATAAAACAGAACCAAAGAACCAAATAAAAATATTTAGGGTTATAAATAACAAGCTAATGGAGTCAGTGTTGAATTGTTAAAGTGTAGGAATAGAAACTGGTTTGTCTCACTATTGTTCTCTGTGTGTGCGAGCACGTGTGTACATGTGAGAATACAAGTGTGTACAGGTGTTCTTGCTGGTGTGTGCGTGTGTGGCCAGCGGTACCTTCCTCCATCACTTCACCTTATTTTTAGAGAGGATCTCTCTCTGGGCCTGGATATCACATGCTGGCTAGCCTGACTGGCCAGGGAGCCCCAGGAATCCACTTGGGGCAGCCCTTCCCTGCCGCCAGCTGTCGGGGTAGACTCCGACCGCTATACCTTCTTCCTCGTGGTGCTGTGGATCCACACTCTGCTGCTCATGCTTGCACAGCAGGTACTTTCTTGGCTGAGCCATCCTTCCAGCACCTCACTATCACAGTCTTACTATTTGTGTCCTATAAACAGCAGATTGTATACCTTAATTATATTCAATACAATTTCAAAAATTGCCTGTTGAACATTTTAAACATAAATTACCACTAAAAACTAATGTTGTCACCCTCCTTGGGCCTCTTGTTTGAGCCTGCCCTCATGAGTATGTCAGATTCCAAAGGCCCTGACTCTTGACTGTCTTTCAGGACCCAACTTAAAGTCTAGAATTATTCCTGTGCTTCTTTTGGTCTGTTTGTTGTTTTGATTTATTTGTTTGTCTTTTGAGACACAGTTTCTCTGTGTAGCCCTGAATGTCCTGCAACTCACTTTGTAGACCAGGCTGGCCTCAAATTCACGTAGATCCTCCTGCCTCTGTCTCCTGAGTGCTGA